TGTTCCAATTGTTCAGGATTGAATGACTCATTATGAGCAGGGTTGATTTTTGCCTTAGCTTGATATCCTCGACCCTTGGGGTTTTGTCTTGGTTTCCAATCAGCGGGTTTTCCATGTAAGTCCCAACACTCATCTTCTTTGTGTCCAGGCTTACGACAATGATCACACCATAGCCGGCCACATTGTTTTTTACCAGACCCATTTATTGGTTCTTTTGATGACAGACCTATGGAATCAGGCCCAAAGCCCTTCCCACTTGAAAACTTATTGAGCAGATTTCTTTCTTCAGTTGGGCCTTTAAGTGTTGGCCCAACTTGTCCACTACTCTCAGGTCCTTTCCTTTTCATTACAAGGGCCGAAACTTCACTGGGCCCTTTACCCTCTTCCAGCATAACCAAACGGCGGGTTTCCTCCCGTCGAACTTCAGAGAAGACCTCGCGAAGGGACGGCAGTGGTCGCCGGCCAAGGACGCAACCTCTGACGTCGTCGAGGTCACGATTTAAGCCAGCAAGGAACTCATATACCCGTTCAGTTTCAAGCTTCTTCTTGCATCGTACACTGTCGTCTCCACACTTCCACTCTTCATCACTGCTGAGATCAAGTTCCTGCCACAGTGAGGTCATCTCCATGAAGTAATCGAGCACTTCTTTGGTTCCTTGCTTCGTTTGCCAGAGACAGGTCTTGATTTCGAAAATATGGGATGAGTCCTCTGTGTCGGAGTCCGTGTCGTGCACCGCTTCCCACACTTCTTTTGCAGTAGACAGAAAGAGAAACATCTTCCCTATAGTTGGTTTCATGGAGTTAACCAGCCACGCGATAACCATGGAATTTTCAGAATTCCATCGTTGAAGTAGTACAGCCTTCGTAGGTCTCTTCGAATCACCGGTAAGATAACCCAGTTTTCCTTTTCCATCAATTACCAATTTTATTGATTGGGTCCATTCACAGTGATTTTTTTCGTTTAATTTTTCAACTGAGCTGAAACGAGGAGTTCTCGAGGCTGTGAGAACCAATTGTGGAGTTAACCTCCATTTCGGTTTGAGGAGCGTCGGAGTTGACTGATCTTGAGCTGTTGACGTGAAATTCAGCCATAGGTTGCTAGGTTTAGACACCTAAGGCTCTGATACCACGAACGAAACGAGAAGAGTAATGTTCTCATTCAATTAATTAGGCATTACAGCTTA